CAGAGAGAGAGAAATGCATCACAGGACATCACCCTCAGACAAGGCCACTATTTGATAGTGAAGACTAAGGGAAAAACAAGATCAATGCGTGCTCACATTTGAACACAGAATGTGAACATTGTCCAATCCACAGAAATGACCAGTGGCCAGTATGAGCAACTCCTGATTCTTTGCCAAGGATAGCTGAACCCTTTCTCTATCTTCCCTCTGTCTAGATAACACTTATTAAGATGCTCCCACCTCCTGAGACCCCCCAGTCTAGAGCAAGCCCACTGTCTTGATCCCTCCAAACATCCACCAGCCCCAAGTCTGCCCCAAGTCCTTTAGGACACTACCCTCTGCCGCTCCCCATGCTCCTCCCCAGTGTGTTCTCTCTGTGCAGCACCCAGAGAGAAAGGGAAAGGGCCGGGAGAGGGAGAAGCAGGCATGGTGGGGGGAGGCACCTTGTTCAGCTCGTTCCACTCCAGGTGTGTTTCTGTGATCCCCGGCTGGAGGACGTGGACAGTTATTCCTTCTGATAACCACACTCACAGGACTTAAAGCCATCCCACGGAGCCATGGAAGAGATGCCTTGCAGCCTCAGAGGAGTTGCTTAGGGGCTTCGTTGCTTTTCTCATTTATCAGAATTGGGGGTGGGTGGGCCTGTGAATGCCATGGTCCTCTTGGGCAGCGCGATGCTGGGGGTCTCTGTGCCAGACACCCTCACCCGAGTGCTGTGGAACAGCGGCCACCAGTGTCCTCAGATGCTCCTGTTAAAGAATCCCACAATTTCTGACCCAGTTTCTCCCCTGCTTCTGCCTCTCTATGAAAATGAGCTTGGTCTTTACGGGACCCAGGAAATATGCTGAGCCCAGAGAAGGAGAGGATGGAAAGAAGGCCGCGTGGGCTGGGTGGGAGGGAGGTTTCCTGGGGATCCCAGAGGGTGGTGGAGAGAGGGAACCGGAGGGGAAACAAGGAGAGTCTGTGCGAATATGGACTGGGATTCCCTTTGCTGTCTTTAGAAGGAAGCAAGTAAATGGAAGGGTTGATTATTGAGTAACTCCGTTGTTGAGTTGTGCTTCCTGAAGGGAGCGCTAATAAAAAATTGAGGCATGTGGGACTCTGACTCATCAGGATTTATTCTACAGTCGGAAGACCCACAGAGGCAGCCCTCTTTCTCCTGGAGGCCTTGCTATTTCAGTGTTAACAGAGGGAAAAAGTGATTTTTTTTTTCTCAGACATTTCCAGCAGAACCCAGGATTGACCATACCCAGTTTTCCTCCTGATCTCCCGTCTGAAGGACCCCTAGGGCCCACCTCTGTGGGCAATGAGAATATGCCTAAATGGAGCCGGGGACAATGGCACACATCACTGTCCTCTGCTGAAATGTTCATGAGGCTTGGTTCCCTAAGGCCTTTAATTTGTAGAGACACCCAAAGTAGCCCATCTGTGGCAGACTGAGCAGTGGGCCACCGAGCGTGCTGGAGCGCCCTTGACTGTGGGGTTCCCCAAGCATGGAACTTGCAGTGTGAGAGTGAGGACGTCCCTTGGCCACCTGGGGTCGCCTTGGCACTCGCCTTCATTCACAGCCTCCTTCACAACCTTTCTCCTTTTTCTTGTGCTGCTGACTGAGCGCTTCTTCCTAAGGGGCCCCTGGTCCTCGGACCTCTGCTTACCCACGGAAGAGACGTTCAGAGCCCCTGACGTCACCCACGGCCTCAGGGGGTCAGACGGACACTCCCAACCACGCACCAGTGAGAGGCCACAGGTGATGGTCTGACCAAGGCTTTTCTGTCTTTTTATGATCCCTACCATTTGCTAATTGAATTTCTTTCCTGTTACGCCGTTTCTTTCTCTTTTCCTTACACGCTCCTGTGTGATTGGAAGGTGTGGCTGCCCCACACCTCTTAGGAGGATGTCCCAGAGCTTAGAATCTCAGAGTTCCTCATAGTAATAGGAGTCGTGGTTTGCGGGGACATGACTGCTCTGTGTTGGTAAATATAAACAACAATTTCCAACAAATATGGGTATGAACTGAGAATTCAGTGTTTAGTGGGTTCTTCCAATCCTCTGTTGGAACTAAAGGAGATTGACAGTCCCATTCTCAGGGAAGCAAGTTGCTGATATTTCATATCCTACTGGTTTCGCTTAGAAATGCTTGAATTCCAATCCTTGGTTAATTCTTTATATTTATTTTCTCTTCTACTCAGATGCATGTATATCCTACTCAGGTGATTTTAAAGGTTCAAGAAATGACATTAATTTTCTTTTGTAAATATATTGGTGTGTGTTTTTAGAAATTGCAACTGGGGTGGATGATCTGTCTGATTTCAGTTGGCCAGACTACTCTTGGGTCCCAGTCACCTTAGATCAGAGATAACTATAGATAACGGGTTCGGATTGTCTGTAGAAAACTTTACTAGATCCAGAAGGTCACCTTCTGGATCCCAAACCTTGGGTCTGGTAAGACTTCAAGACACAGCTGGATATGGTACGTGTATATTTGCTGTTATTTGTAAAAATAAATTATCTTGTCCCAAAGTTATAGCCAGCACATAATCACTACATTAAATTTGTAAAATATGGAAATATAAGGGGAAGAGGAGAAAATTACTCTGATTCCACCTTAAAAAAAAACAACAACCCCAAAACCCAGCTTTGGGCATGAACTTCTTCCCATGACATTTTTGGGTGCTCCTCCAGTGCTGGAGGGGATGACACATGGAGAGTAAGCTCACCTGGTGCTCCCACTGGGGTGCGGCGGGGACAACCAGGTGTCCTCGCAGGGTTGGGGGAGAGAAGAGCGTCCCAGCCCCTCTTCTCCCATCCGGCGTCAGTCTGATGAGACACACAGCTTCCGCTGCTGCTCTCCACAGCAGGCCTCTGAATCTTGAAAGGCCCACCACCCGTTCACCACCCTTTTGTATCCTTCCTGGAAGAATTCACAGGACAAACGATGCAGTTTTGTTGAAGATATTTATGACAACATTGAACTTTCCTGGAACCCAGCTCAGCAAAGAACTAAGGTAATGTTCTTATCTTGGAGGATGTGTCAGGTATCAATTTTTTGCCTCACAGCTACAAATTCACTCTTTATTGCTGCTCTGAGGAAATGGATAGGGGCCTTTTGAACGTTTTCTTTTTGTTAGATGGCATCAGATCAGGCTTCGTCAGTAAAGGGAGCGTTGAGAGACACTGCAGGGGAAAGGGTTTGGCTTCCTGGGCAGGCTCCTTAGTGCCTTCTCCAGCACCTGGCTCCTGTCATGCATGGTAGCCAGAGGCACCCAGTAGCCAGGAGCATACTTTCACCTCTTCCTGGGTAATGGTTTCAGAACAACCAGGTCCCAGTATATGAGAACCAACCCCCAGGTCTGATGAGTTGAAGAAAGAGGCTGATAGATCCAGGATTGCCCAGAGTGCAATTTATTGGGGACTTAGGGACGTGTGGGGAACTAGAAGGACATTCTCCTTCAAAGATTAGCCTGACAGCCCCCTGGGAGACATTCTGCCCTGAAGGCATCCTGCAGCTACCTATCTCCCTGGAACACCCTGCCGTTATCAAGATCATCAGACATCTTGCAGCAGACAGTTTTAAATACCCACCCACATCCAGCAATTGCGAGGAGTTTCCCCATCCCCAGCATATAAATACCCCTGTGTGAACAATAAAAGTTTGCAGCTTGATCAGAACTTTTGTCTTGCTGTCACCTTTCGTGTCTCTTGTCCCTTCATTCCTCCCCATCTAGGTTCGCTGCCCACGTTGATGTGTCCTGCCGGACGGGACAGGGACGGAGTGTGGTTCAGGGTGGCAGCAAGGCCAGTGGAGTCCCACAATTTGGGTCAGAAGGAGGGGTCTTATATCATGGTCAGGACAAAAGTGACTGCATCCAAGCTGGAATGTACCTGCTTTATCTTAAGCTAATATCAAGAACACCTGGCACATTCCCTGCTCTGCTGGCACCAGAGTCTGGGTCACGAACCTCCACATATCACTCTAGTGGTTCTGTCTATTTATAGTATGCTGGGGGATCACTGGGGGAAACAGACCTGGGTTCACCCTGGGACAATCATGGTGGTGGCCACTTAGGATGGCACTCAGGTCAAGCTGAATCCCTACAGTGCTTTCGAGGTAGAATGCCTCAGAGAGATATCTCCTTATGAACAGATTTCTGGACACCTTAAAGAGTGGATTTCTATCAAGTGCCAGAGAGCAGGTTTCCAGCAATTTTGCTCAACAAGACATCATGGTAATTTTTCTGCAATTCTTTCAGCCACGACTACGCCTCCTCCAGAGAGGTCTGGATTTCAGCTCCAGGTTGGGGAGAAGTTAGAGATCCCTTCCTGGGCATTGTATCACGGCCCTGAGGGTAGGAGGCTGTGCTTATTCCCATGTCCTTGAGAGTTCTCTTTCCTTCTTATGAGCCAATTCCTGCTACTTCAATCTCCAGTCATAATTAGTGGTTCTCCATATTAAACATTCTTGCTCAAATCACCAAGTATCTTCTTTCTCTTGATTGGACCCAGACTGATAAAGAGGAGGAAAGCAGAGTTGAGAGCCCAGATATTTCTGGCTGTAGCTTTGCAGCATGATGGAGAGGCTACTTCTCTCTTCAATCTACTCTCTGAGTCCCAGATTTCCCAACTGCAAAAGAGCATTAATAATATTACCTGCCTCATAGGATTCTTGTGAGGGTTGAGAGAAATAATACATAGAAATTATCTGAAATAGCACCTGGCACCTATTAAACACTAAGTAAGTGTTATCTGTTAGTATTAACTAATCTAGGTGGATCTTTCAATGAGCTTGGTTGGAGGACCACAAACACAAATTCTATGCCTAACAGAAGCATGTACCATAGTTTACTTAATCATTCCTGCATGGGAAACATTTTATTTGCTTTTAATATTATACTATAAAAAAGATGGCTTGATGAACATTCTTGTGTACAAAATTCATTGACTCTAGAATTTTATTGATGAAGGGACGTGGAAAGTCATTTACCCACAAGGAAGTGCTTCAGTAACAGGAGTAGGTTCTGGCCTAACCCCATAAGGGAAGTAGAATTAGAAAGTGTGAAATAAATCATGCTGAGGATCCCAGTAATCTTTGGATTTTTACATCTTTTCAAAAATCTCTTCTAACTTCTCTTTAATGTGTGACAAAAGAAAGGTTTTATTTTCAAGGGAATACAGGTCTACACGGCAAGTCATCTTGTCATAGTCCTTAGAATGTTCCTTGTCTCTTAAGTCGGGCACCTCGGAGGGTCCCACTCTCAAGTAATCAATTAAGTTAATCAATAATTGAACAATTTTGGGAGAGAATTTCAGAAAGCTCTCTTCTAAGTGTTTAGGATGCACCAGTGGGAACAAAATTCCCTGGCCCAAAGGACCTTATGTTCTGTTGCTGGCGGTAGTGATGGGGAGGGGACAAATAATGAATAGTGCCGATAATTCTTAAGTAAATTGCTTAGCGTGTTGGAAAATGGTGATGTGATGGAAAACAGGCTGGATAAGGAGGATCAGGTGTGCCTTGACGGAGTGCAGTTTTTTTAAAAAAGGATAATAAACAGAGTGAGAGGAAAAATGGCAAGAGATGAAGACAGTAGGTAACTGATCCCAGATTGAGTGTGACCTTCTGGGCCAGTGTCAGAACTTTGGTTTTCACTCTGAGTAAAATGTAGAGTCATAGATGGTTTTGAGCAGAAGAAGGCCATGACTGGATCCCTGGGGCTCTTGAGTGAGGAGAGACTTTGTGGGTAGAAGGAAACATTGCCACCCCTCCTCTTTCTCATTCCCATCCCCATGGAAGACAGAAGATGGCAGCTAAACAGTGACAGTCAGGGGGTCTTGGAGGGCCATGAAGAAGCCTGGGCTGGGGGGGCGGTAGACTGGTGGGGGGAAGTGGGGATAGTGCACACGGGTGGTGGTAGGGGTGTGAGGGACAGGAGCATGCAGGGGAGCTGATACTGAGCAAGTCCGTGGATTGATTGCATAGATAAGTATCTAATGAGGGTCGGGAAACCAGGTTTCTCATTGCTGCAGAAGGGATTTCTAAGCACAGAGAGGGGAGGCCAGAGGGGCTCTGAGATGATGTTGGAATGGGAGGTGTGTAGTGGTCCATCTCACTTGTCGACTTGATTGGATTAAAGATGCCTAAGATTGAGAGGCTTCCTGGTGGGTCAATGAGGGTGTTTCTAGAAATGATTGGCTCGTGGGACAGCAAACTATCTATCTATCTATCTATCTATCTATCTATCTATCTATCTATCTATCTATCTATCTATCCATCCATCCCTCCATCCTCTCATTATAGACGTATTAGTGTGTGATATTCTACATGAGTGTGCATATCTCCTAGTTCTGTCCATCGAGAGGGCTTAGAAGCACCAGCACCCTCATAACAATAAATACAACAAGCATCCAGCAACTGGCCTCTGAAAACCATCTTTCACTAAAATAAACCAGGGCTTCTTGAACAATAATGAATGGTTAATTCCAGGATGAAGGCTTGGAAAGTGCAAGGTGAACCTGGAACATCTTCTTGTGCCGAAAAATAAGGAAATGCTCAGGGAATGGTGGGAACATTTCAGAAGATATGGGGTCTCTCACTGGTCAGATCAAGGATAATTTTAAGTATGATAAATGAAAACAATGGATCACAGTCCAATGAATAGAAGAGGAATGTGTGAGTCCACATTGATTAAGATGAGCAAATAAATGAACAAATGAAACAAATGAATAGAGAGGGATTTCCTACTGATAGAGTGTCAAACTAGTAAAGCAAATGGAATCATGGAAATGGAGGGTAACCGTCTGGCAGCCTTCACAGATACGCCTCGTTCTGAAGTCATCAATGGAGGCTAACTCTGAGGGGGAAGGTTTCATGAGGAACAGGAATTTTGACATAATCTAGGAATATCACCTCAGAAAATATTAATAAATTACAAAGGAAAAGTGTAATTTTAAATTACATTTATAATTTTTTACATGAGGAATTTTTAAATTTAGAATTTAAGTGGAGAAATCTGGCAGGCATCATCATGACCAGGTGACCAAGATGGGATGGGGGGACCTGGTGCTCCTCCTGATGCTGCTTCTGTGGAATCTGGCCGGAGTCTGCTCACGAGGCACCATCACAGAGTCTCTGTTACCCTCCATCCTACCTCACATGCCACAGAGCGTCGAGTCCCTGACAGTGGGAAAGACAGAAGTGCTGTTTCAGCTGGAAGGATGTGAAGATATATGACAACTGACATGGCACGCATTCCTCAGACAGCCCTGGACCACAGAGGAAAGAGGTATTTGGGGGACAACTATAAAACCTGAGTAGCATGGGATGGTACTGTGTCAATACTGAGTTCCTGATTTGCAGGGTTGTATCCTGGCTACATAGGACAGCGTTCTTGTTTTTGAAAAACACACATTGGATACTCTGGGGGGGCTATAGGACTCAACTCCTGAAAGGTTCAGAATATTTGGTTAAATTATTATTTCAAAACACTTGTTTTTTTTTGTCTTTTTAAAATTTATATATGACAGCAGAATGCATTACAATTCCTATTAAACATATAGAGCACATTTTTTTATATCTTTGGTTGCATACAAAGAATATTCACACAAATTTGTGTCTTCATACATGTGCTTTGACTAATAATGATCATCACATTCCACCATCATTTCTAACCCCAAGCCCCCTCCCTTCCCCTCCCACCCCTCTGCCCTATCTAGAGTTCTTCTATTCCTCCTATGCTCCCTCTCCCTACCCCACTATGGATCAGCCTCCTTATAACAGAGAAAACATTTGGCAATTGGCTTTTTGGGATTGGCTGACTTCATTTAGCATTATCTTTTCTAACTCCATCCATTTAGCATTATCTTTTCTAACTCCATCCATTTAGCCATGATTTTATTATCTTTTATTGTTGAGTAATATTCCTTTATGTATGTATGCCACATTTTTTATCCAGTCATCTATTAAAGGGCATCTAGGTTGGTTCTGCAGTTTAGCTGTTGTGAATTGTGCTGCTATAAACATTGATGTGGCTGTGTCTCTGTAGTATGCTGTTTTTAAGTCCTTTGGGTACAGACGGAGGAGAGGGATAGCTGGGTCAAATGGTGGTTCCATTCCCAATTTTCCAAGAAATCTCCATACTGCTTTCCATATTGGCTGCACCAATTTGCAGCCCCACCAGCAATGTATGAGTGTGCCTTTCCCCCACATCCTCACCAACACTTATTGTTGTTTGTATGCATAATAGCTTCCATTGTGACTGGAGTGAGATGAAATCTTAGAGTGGTTTAATTTGCATTCCTCTAATTGCTAGCGATGATGAACATTTTTTCATATATTTGTTGATTGATTGTATATCATCTGAGAAGTGTCTGTTCAGGTCCTTGGCCCATTTATTGATTGGGTTATTTGTTTTTTTGGTACTTAGCTTTTTGAGTTCTTAAATACCCTAGAGATTAGTGCCTATCTGATGTGTGAGGGGTAAAGATTTGCTCCCAACATATAGGCTCTCTGTTCACCTCACAGATTGTTTCTTTTACTGAGAAGAAATTTTTTAGTTTGAGTCCATCCCATTTATTGATTCTTGATTTTAATTCTTGTGCCAAAGGAGTCTTATTAAGGAAGTTGGGGCCTAATCCCACATGATGGAGATTAGGGCCTACTTTTTCTTCTGTTAGACGCAGTCTCTGATTGTATTCCTAAGTCCTTGATCCATTTTGAGATGAGTTTTGTGCATGGTGAGAGATAGGGGTTTAATTTCATTTTGTTGCATATGGATTTCCAGTTTCCCCAGCACAATTTGTTGAAGAGGCTATCTTTTCTCTAATGCATGTTTTTGGCACCAAAACACTTGTATTTTTTTTAAAAGAAGGCTATTGGGGGTAAGAGATAATGGTGATTTAGGCTAGGGGTAACACAGTAGTTGGGGGAGAAGATAACATTCTGGATATATTTTGAGAATAAACCAATAGCTCTTTCTGGTGAATTAGATATGGATTATGAAAGAAAACCAAGATGCAAGAATGACCCCAAGCATTTTGGCCTGAGCCCCTGGAATGAGTGACTGTATTGCCACCTGCGTGTGAGCTGTGGGTAGGGCTGGCTTTTAGGGACGGTGAAGAGTTCTGCTTTGGAGGAGTTGTTTGAGATTCAGGAGACATCCTAATGAAGATGTCAAGTATTTAGCTACCAGAATCTGAAGCTCAGAAAGGGAGTCAGGCTGGAGATTTAAATTTGGGAGTTGTCAGCAAGCAGATGGTATTTAAAGTCAGGAGGGTGTGAGATCACCACGCAGGGAGCACAGAAGACTAGAGAAAGCACACACTCAGGGCTGCCTTCCAGGGGGCTTCAGCCAGGTAGACTCTCCAAAAAGTCACTGAAAAATGTCCACCCGTGTAAAAATGTAGGGCTATGGACCCGAACATTCTTTGTCCTCAAAGTGGCAAAAGTTTGGCTCGTGGAGAGAGGATTGACGTAAAAACCACAATGCCACATGCACTGACATTTTCATTATGTTTACTATGTGCCAGGCACAACGCCAAGCGCTTTACGTGGCTTATCACATTTCATCTTCATCTCAACCTTATCAGGGAGGTGATATCATTCCTTCTTTTCATGCAAGGAAACTGAGGCTTATAAATTAAAATGCTGTGTTCAGCTGGATGGGGAGGCTGAGGTGGGAGGACCGAGAGTTCAAAGCTAGCCTCAGCAAAAGCAAGGCGTTAAGCAACTCAGTGAGACCCTGTCTCTAAATAAAATACAAAATAGGGCTGGTGATGTGGCTCAGTGGTCGTGTGTCCCTGAGTTCAAAACACTGTGTTCAACATCTCGCAGCTAGTACCTAGTGAGGCTGGGGTTCAGACCGCTGTGATCTCTGCAAGTGGACTTCCAGTTGAATGGCTGCGTTATCCAGCCCTAAGCACAGGAAAAAGACGAAGAAGCTTCTCATAGGGCTCTAGACCTGGCTAAAACAACCAAGCCAACACACACACATACACACAACAAATGCACAAACACACACAAAACACACACACACACACATCTGTAACTGAAGACTTCCAAGCATTTGAGAAAATTCCTTTCCCCAAACGGACTGCCTCTCACTTATGGGGGTGTGCCCTCTGAGAGAGGTCCTGGAAGCTTGGGTGTGATGGAGAAAGGGCTTGTTGGAGTTGACCCACGTCTCCAAGGACCTCGTCTAACAAAACAGTGCAGTTTCCAGGGTCCCCAAATCCTGGGTTCTGAACACAGCCAACCCTGTGTTTTTAAGAGCTCTGTCTTTCCTGAAATTCCTTTCTTTTGGCTTGCTGTTATTTGCCACTTTTACAAGCTACTGAACCACATCACTGGTGTGAACAGTTTCAAAGCTTACATATTTCTTTTTGTAATCAGTTTAGTCGATCTTGTAACTATAAAGAGAGAGATGGTAAATCCTAAGCTCCCATTCTGAGTCAGAATTTATGACAAGAACAACGTGCTTGTGCCCAAACAGAGCCATGCATGTATGGTAATATGGCACTTGAAATTTATGTACTTCCTTTTATCCAAGGAACAGAAAGTGCTTCTATAAAATGGATTAAGAGCCAACTGTCTACAGCAGGCAATGAGAACGGTTCAAAATAGGACTGCCGTGGGAATCATTTGATTTCTGCAAGGCCAGAGGTCACACTAAACAACCAGGAGTCCCGTGTTTTACGGAAGTGGATTTCAGGAGACCACCGCCACTTCAACTCCGGCTGCCAGTGATGGATTTCACTGCATCTTCACCCACAGGTGTGGGATTGAATACTCTCCTGTGGCACTGCTGTGTGGTGCTGGATGCCACACAGGACGAGCCCTGGGTATCAGGAGGAGATGGCAAGCAGTGTGCATCCCAGTCATCTCCTTCTACAGACTGACTGGTTGGCTCTCCTTAGCAAGGACAATTCTTTGTGATTCTTGTTGTCAGTTTGAAAAACTCCAGTCTTATAGATAAGCCAGAATTGAAGGCCCATGTAATAATATGGCTTCTATAGATTGCATTCTGTAAAATGCCCACACTTGGATAGGTCCCTATATGAGTTACCTATTGCTGAGTAACAATGATCTCAAATGGACTGACTTTAAATAACATTTATGATGTCTTAGTTTCTGTTGGCCAGGAGTCCTGGGGTGACTTGACTGGGCCCTCTGCTTTGGGACCTACCTTGAGGTGTTATCTAGGGCTGTGTCCCCTCCAGGCTTGACTAGGGGACAATCTGCTCCTACTCACAGGGCTTTTTGCATGGTTCAGTCCCTTGTGGGTTGTCGGGCTGAAGTCCTAGCTCCTCGAAGTCGGTCAGAGGTCCCCCTTAGTCCCTTGCCACATGAGCATCTCACAAGAAGAGGGCAAAGGAGAGTACTGGTAAGACCAGCCGCAGGCTTGGCAGCACTTACTGAGGTTTGTTGCTTCATCACAGAAACACAGTTGGCCACTAGTCAGGGGCATGTCAGCAGCTTATGCTTCGGGGCTGGGGACCACACAGGGCATGAAAGGTGGGGTGGGGGGCGGACCCCTGGGAACCTGCACACACCTTGTCTCACTGTATCCAGGAGTAACCCTCCAGTGCAGTGTCGGTCCTTCCCTGTTATGGATGGGACAACAAGTTCTCTGATTCCTCAACTTTCCCCCATGACAAAAAAGTTCAAACTTAGTGATTCACAGCGTTCATTCATTTATATGCTTATTCCATAAATATGTGATATGATACGACACAGTTGCCAAGATGCCAGTTTGTATTCTTGGTAAAATATGGGAGTATACCAACATCCTAGTAATTCTTGAATCAATGTTCCTGTGAGAAGGAACTATTTACAAAACCATATATTATATACAGTGTCTGATTTATTGTTATACCCATAGGAGATATTCATAAGATATAAGAATTGTATCTTTTATATCATTGTAAGAATATAAAAATTCTCATAAGAATTATTAATTAATCTACCTTTATCATTTTCGTTGAAACACCTGGGATTGGAGTGTCCAGGATCCAATCATTTCCATTTCAGAGATGGATGGACAGTGGTGATGATGTAAACAATGCTGCAGGACCTAAAATGGAGAATTTCCGCCCAGTCCTATTTAGACCTCAACCACACGGGAGAGGTTGACATGTAACTAGGGTTGACGCCACTGTTACAGACATCATGTACCCACCACAGGTGTTAGCAAGGCTCGCCGTCCTGCTTCCCTTGAGATCATGTGCAAAGTCTATAAGACATAAAATTTTAAATTGTGAAAATAATGCACATATGTAAAAGATGAATTTTAAAAGTTGTGCCGTTTTCTTAACTCAGAGGAACCTACCATGTGGCAAGTACTGAGATGAGGAATTATTCATAATATACATATATGTATCGTAGTGCTTGCTTTATGGTGTTAGACTGGTCGTGGATATTCATTTTATACAGGGGACTTGAGCGTCAGGGGTTCTGTCATCTCTTGGGGGTGCTGGAACCAATCCCCCAAGAGACAGCTGTGATTCTTTTCTGTCTTATGATTTGGTGTGGAGGCAGGCCTCACCCACTCTGAGCACGCCATCTACCATTGAGCTTCCCCCTCCCGGGCCCTTTGAGATAATGGAAGATACTCTGGGATTGTGAAAGTCGGCGAGGGGAGCTGCTGGGGCAGTGCTTCTTCACTGACAGAAAGGCAGATGCTCTTCTGGGGCATCATCAAACAGCCCAGATGCAACCTAGAGCCAGGGACGGGGTCATTTCTGATCTATGCAATTACTCAGAGGCCGAAAGGAAAGACCCGCCCAGTTTCATAAAACCCAACAGCAGGGATCTGGAGAATCAATGAATGCTGGTGGATACCCACAGGGCAACTTGGAAGCCAAGTCACTCCACTCGGGAAACCTTTCACAGAGAGTTATTTTTGAACAACACTCTGAGATGTGGAAAAGCAGGAACTGGAAGGATGAAGGCAGAAGGCTGACTGGCTACCTTGAGAGCCTCGGTGTCCGTGGCTGATTGGCAGCTCTTTATGCTGTGGCCAAGAGGCTGCAGGATTCCAGGCCTCTCCTGGGATAGGGCAACTTGCTAAATATTCCCTAGAACCCGTGGTCTCACCAGCAGCCTCCTCAGCAGCAGGACAGGGAGGAGGTAGCTGCTGTGGTTGGTCTTTTACTTTTTCCCCTCGAAATACCCAGATTTCCAAGTGGCGAGAAAACAAAACACCAAACCCTGATTAGAATTTTGGATTAAGGACAGCTATCTGCCTTGTCTCACTTTTGATGCACCAGCTGATAATTGGGCTATCGCTGGGTCTAAAAATAACATACAGTACATTAAAATAATATTCCTTGGCTACATTTCCAAAGTGGTATTCTGGGACTTCTGTGCATTAATCCTGTAACAATAACAGGATTTGTGCTTTTAACTCCCCCGGCGTAGCTTTGAAAATCTAGCCTAAAGCAGCTAACGCTGCCGTTTAAATCATCCTCTCACCATCCACAGGGAAATGCCGAGATTAAAAAATGACAACCCGACCGGTCCAATGACCTATCCCTGGGAGAATAAGAGAAACAACCTATTTCCTCTCAGGAACTGGGCCGATCAATATAAATATTTCAAAAGGACGACCGTGAGCTAAAGGCCTCAGAACTGGTGTTCTTCCTCAGAACACCCTAGATATTTCCACAGTGGACTTATCAGGTTTTCCACGGGGGAGGGAGATACTGTGAGTGCTGAATAACTGGAACTGAGCTGGCAGGCCCTGTGTGAGTCTGTGTGTGTGTGTGTGTGTGTGTGTGTGTGTGTGTGAGGAGGGAAGGAGAAGGCGGCTGTCATTATTGTGTATGTTTCTGGTAAACATTCTTTTTTATCCTGTCGAAACTTGGGCGTATCCCAGAGATTAGGTGCTCTTAATGGTGTTAGCGTAAAAGAAAAATTGCACGTCCTAAAATTTGCACACAGCTCCAGATTGAAGTGGCAGGAGTTTTTCAATGATACCATTAATTGCATTTCATTAATGAAGAAAAAGCTTTTGTGTAGCCACGGTTTGTGATGGGCTGCATGTAGCCAGTGTCGGTCCCACGAACAGGCTGGCAGGGCTCTCGGCCTGCAATGCCTTTGAAATTCTAAAACGGAAAAGGAGGCCAACACACTGAGCAATTATTTCGGAACAGATTGCCCGTTAACATTTCATAATATCACCGAGATGCATCATTTCTGGGACGGAGTCTTGCTTTGGCTACAAACCTCCGAGAGGTGGCAGCACCCCCTGCTCCTTGGCTGGCCGCGGCCCTCCAGCAGCTCACCGCAGAGGCCTCCTCATTGCGTCACCTGGAAGCCAGTTTGGAGGGCGGAGGTGGGGGAGGGGAGATGTTCTTCTGCAGAGTTCAGGAAACAGCTGCATGGCTTATTTTAAATGGATTTGAAAAGGTTTTTCTTTTCCTTTTTTTTCCCCCTTGAAATCCGCTGGCCTCTGTGATATCTTTCTATGGAAACCACATGGGCACCGTTAGGCATTCCCTGGTTCACACCCCGAGGGAGGAAGGAAGAGTTCCAGTTGTTGGGGATCCCCCGAGATCTCATTTTCAATTCCCCAAACTCGTCTGTTATCAAGACAGGAAGGTGGGATTCAGATGGCATTACTGATGCTTATTTTTTGAGCACACGTGTGTACAAGGCGCTTAGCCCAGCATTGGGCCTGGGACGCTGCCCACCAAGGATGGCTTTCTTCTTCCCCAGCCATCTCTCAGCACCCCACCCCCAATCTCATGCTAAAAATATTCTGCAGAGCAAATAGCTGTTGAGACAGCGTCAAACCCTGCACAAATAAGTGACAGTATAAACTGCCAGGCTAAGTGTCAAACGCCGAGATGGAAAGCATCTGGTGTCGGCTCGAGGAGTGTCAGGGCAGGTCTGGACGGCCAGCAGCACCCAGGCGTCCGGGGAACCTGGTCCCCTTCATGCACGCTACGCAGTTTGAAGGAAGAGCGGGCACACACCAAGGTGACCTTGCTGAGGGGGGTATTGACAGGATGCAGAGACAGGACCCTCCTGGGAAGCTGGACTCTGGGAGGGAGGCCAGGTGGAGCAGGGCTCAGCATGGTTTCCGTCCAGCACAGTCAGCTAGGGACTTCCCTCCCACCTGGCCTAGCCATCAAGGGACTGGTCCCCACGGACAGCCTGCCTTTGACCCTGCGCCTCTTCATGAGCTCACCTCCTCAGCTCACTCTGACTTTGTCACCTTGTAGCTTTCCCTGTGACATGGGCCTCAGGTCCCGTGAACACCACAGGACCATCTTCCCTGTATTTCCAGACAGAGGAGGAGGAGGAAAGGGACCAAGAGAGAGTCCACTTGGCTCCTCTGGTGACATCCCCTGTCTGTCTGGTTGGAGGCCAGACCCCTCCCAGGGACTGAGCAGGCCTGTGAGTGGCCGCCTCCCAAGGCCCACCCTGGCCCTGGAGGACTGTGGACGCGCGCACTGTCACAGGGAGCGGCTGCCTTCTCCAGGCCCCGGGCGGCTGGCTGTCGTGGTGACCCTGTGTGCTGCTCAGCTCCAGGGGGACAGGATTCTCACCTTTTCTCTTGTTTGCAGGGATTCAGATGCAGCTCGGAGAACACAGTTAACAGTGATGATTCATACCCAGTCCTCAGGGATCCGGAAACTTAAAGAAAGGCACAGAGCCTCCCCAGCACAGGCTTATTTGGGATGGGGCTGGATCGGACGCCAGTGTCCTTGTTATGATCAAATCTTCCTTGACGGGTCTCAAACTGGCACTTCAAAGCAAACACAGACTCTCCATGCCACCCCAAAGCGCCACCTCCAGGTGCCATGACGTAGGCTGCCAAGGCTCCTCCTCTGCTGCTCAGGGTTGGCCACGCCCTGGTTGGGGACATCTGGAGCAGGGGCAAAGGGCACATGGGACATGAAGCCAGGTGGCTGCTGCAGGTGCCCAGCCCTGGCCCTTGCCTTTCTCTGGTCCTTTCCTGTCACATGAGGACAGGAGGCAGGACAAGGCAGTCCCCACAAGGCAGCTGGCTGGCATCTGGCCCCTTCAGCGGAGCCACCCAGCCCAGGGGGCCTTGTTCCCCACTGGCCTCGACAGCCTGCTCTTGCTCTCCCTCGCTTCCACTTGTGGCCGGTCTCAGCCCCACGGCACTGAAGGGAGTATACAAGCAGGGGATGAATGATGGTCAGGTTTTCAGAGGTGACCAAGTTCCTTCAGCCAAACCACCAGGATTTCCATATCTGTTGGATTTTGTCACTAACTGTGCTGCTTCGGGGTATCACATTTATCATTATCTGGATTTTTTTCATTATCTGGTGACTCCTGACGGTCAGTCTGAGCTCACTAATTTAGATGGTAAGCTCCCAAGCGCTCCCTGCACTGTCCAACACAGCGCTGAGAGGGCTACCAAGCAATGAGGGTGAGGATTTGCTTCCTGTGGCTTCAGTTACCTGCAGTCAAACACAGTAAAAAAATCTTAAATGGAAAATTCCAGAAACAAACCATTCCCAAGTTTTAGATTGCTCACCTGTCTGAGTGGCGCGATGAAACCCGTTGGGATGTGGGTCCCATGCTCCTCACCCTCACCGCTTGGTAGCCCTTGGGGTCAACCGTTGGGGCTAATCAGTACACTAGGCACCGATTATTCAAGAACTCAGAGTCCCAGGCTTCTCGTGGGATTCAAATGTCTGGTTGTCACCTTTCTTCATACTTTCCGCTTTGCCACCTCCTCTCCTTCCACCCGCCTCCTCTCCCATCGGCGTGGGCCCAGTTGTGCTGTGGAAACAGTGGCTTGCACATCTTGGTGGGGACTCTGCTTGGGAGGGGGCTCTGGGCCTCAGTGGACCAGACGGTCACTGTGGCAGGAGGGCAGCAGGGTGACGGTGGGTGCACTCACCCTTGGCCTCCTCTCCCACCAGGCCTGGCACACAGCTTAGTTGATATTTCAGTAGCCAAGTAGGTCACATGGCCATTCTTAACCTTGAGGGGACAGAGAAGTACTGCCCTTGGGTGGCCCTGGAAAGAGGAGAACCTGAAATGTTGGTGACCCCGGCAGTGCCGAGCAGAGGCCTGGCAGTGGCTGCCTTCCAACTCCGTGTTTAGTGAGGCACCGGAATAAATATAGACTCTTTATGCACCGGGGCCCACAGGAATGAAAAACAAAATAAACCTGTGATAAGGATGATTTACGTCATTAAAAATGGTTTTTCTATATTAGATAAATGTCAGGGTTTTTTCCCTCCAAATCAGTGATCCGAAGCAATCAGCCGCAGTCTCTCCTAAATGCCATCTGTCTAAGCGGGGTTCACATTAGTCACCGGAGTCTACACTAACGGGGCCTGCTCAGGTTCCTGATGCTTCCGTACCTCACAAAGGCCCGTCCGGCAGCTCAAAGAGTACTTCTCCAAAGAGCAGAGTCACCTGAGCCTCCTGAGCTGTGGGGTCTGATCTTTATTCCCACTCTCGTGTCCGGTTAGACTCTGTAGGTCATAATGCAAGACCCCAGATCCTTCCCAAAGCAGACCGGGCGTCATCTTGCTCACTAAGTGGTCTTCCGTTCTGCACTCATTCAATAATTCCCTTCCCCCTAAAATATGCCACTATAATGACAAGAACGAGAAGTTTATTTCCAAAGGTAAAGAGCTTGGTGGCCAACTCTTTTTATCCAAGTCAATGCGCCATGACCATGACCTGCCACGGAAGAGCCTACCGCGGTCTGATTAAAGAGGACTCTCTGCATTAGAATCTGAAGATTGGTTCAGGTTCCAGCACTATCCTGCTTTAGCTGTATTACCTTGGAGAAAAACACTTGGCCTCTCTGAACCTTCATTGGTGAATCTGGGATAATTATACTCACCTTCCAGGATGAAGTTTCCTATCCATAAAATGTAGTTATAATCTCTACCTCTCAGGGTTATGGGGATATAAATTATTGTGACAAAGATAACTTCTGGGCAAAATATATTTGTGTAAGTATGTATATCCCAAGCTGGGAACTTCTTCCCTCCTTTTTTGCTTGCTAATTAAGAGTCATAAATAAAATGCTGATGAGCTGCAGTCTGCCGTCTGTGCTGTAGCTGGAGGGCTGTTTTGACTTTGCCATACAAATGGCTAACCAGCCGCTCCCACCATGCCCCGCTCGAGCGTTCAGCACTGAGAAATCCAGCTACTGCCAACAGCATCTTATAAACTTGTCACTATTTACTTATTTGGTGACAGTGTTTTTGTTCAGTGATCATCCCTGAGATGTCACCCGTCAGGGCCTGTTTCCCTCCAAAATGCCATTTAACTATCATTCTTTCTCACACCACGTGAACTCAGGGGACAGCTCAGGTGAGACTTGGGCCTCAGAGTTTGTCCCCACGGCATGCAAGCATCTTTACCGGGCAGTAGCAGGACCTTCTGAGGGCTTGGCTCAACAGATCTGCACCGCAAAGCTGCTTCAATAAGCCGCTAGCCAAGACCTCCAGGTAACTGAGTGGTCGCGTGCCACGCAGCAGATGTCTCCGACCAGCTCGGGAAAGCCGATGGTCGCATTTTCAGGAATTTCATGAGGAGGTTAGTGTCATGTTGATGGACTGGCATTGACCACAGTGGGAGTGTTTACACCAGGAGCCTGGCAGACTCTACAAATCAGCCTTTTCTTCCAGAGGGCTGCTTGCTGGACACTCACCAGCTCACCGCCATGTGGATGACCAAGGCTCGGTGCTCCTGGGTCAAGCCCAGATGTGTCTGGGATGGCAGGAGAGGCGTCCCACGTCAGAAGCGTAAACACGACCCTGGTACTGGACGGGGGTGGGGTGGGGGGAGAAGGGAACTCACTTTGGTCTTCTTATGAGCCCTGGTCTATGTCAGCCTGGATTGAGATGGGCATATATTAGGAAGTGTCCAGCAAAATTAGGGGGGTGGGTCAGCCAAAGGTCTGTTCTCATGACAGAAGGAGACTCTCCCAGGAGCTTGATTCAAAGCTGGACACAGGGACCTATGGACTCATGGACACACGCATGGTGCATGTCCTCCAGGTACAATCCGGGCCCAGCCAAGACTCGTAAGGGTGCGTGTGAGATTTTAGGTCAAAACTGTAAAGGCTTCAGGAAACTGTGGTTATGATGGTGCTGTTTAGACCTGGTGTCTAGCTCCTTCCAGGACCCAGCTGCAGCAGTTTGGGGACAGCAGGGGGTTGGCTGACCACCTGGAGTGCACTGGGGTGGGCTCACTGTGAGCCCCCTCCAAGAGAACTCTGCAGAGGGCTGATGCACGTGAGCGGAGCGGGGAGGCCCGTGGAACTCGCTCGCGTGGTCCAGTGCAGGCCGTGGGCGGGAGGGGGAGATGGTTCCACGTGCATTTTCTCAACTGATCCTCACAATAAAAGGCACTTTGTAGATGAAGAAACCAAGGAGCAGAGGCCTGAATATCTTGTTGGGTGTCACAGAAAGTAAGTGGCAGAGCTGAGGTTCCAACCTGGGACTGCGTGACGGTGAATGCTTGGTGGCCTCCTTGGATTGGTGTCTCCACGCACTGTCAGTGTTTGGAGGAGGAAGTGGCTCCCTTCTCCCCCAGAGCCACTCCTCTGACCCCACCTGATGCCCCACCTTCCCAGCACCTGCTAGGCATCTTTGGGAAGCCCCCCTCATCCGTGGGCACCTTTCTCCCCCTGTCCACGAGGGAGTGCCCGCGGGGCGTCCTGCTGGTCCTCTCAGCCTCTCTGCTGCACCAAGCACAGCTCAGTTCTCCTTTATTCTAGGAAATCGCGGCTTCCCCGATTCCAGGACTTGCTCCCTCCCGCCCCCTCCTTGGTCACTCCTCTGGCCACTCTGGCCCTGCTCCCGTTTCTCAAGCCTTGATAAAGGCATCGCTCCGCGGGTCTGGAGTTGGCTCTCATTGCCACTGTCAGTCTCTGGTCCTGAGGTTCCCCGAGGTTCCCTGAGTCCTGGGCTCTCCGTGCAGACAACCCCAGATCCATGGTCTATGGCCTGCCTGAGAAACGAGGAGAAGTGAGTGCCCGTCCACGGCTGAGAGCAGCCTCTGGCCTGCGGTGGGCGCTGTCAACACAAGGGACTCAGGTGGAGAGTGCTGTGAGCCCGGGCTGGGCCTGCTCCTGTTGAATTATTTGAAGGTCATGCCCTTCAGGCTCTGAGCTTCTCGGAACTGTGCTTTCCCCGTTTTTGATCCTCTGGCCCAGCACAAGGCGTAGTAGGTGTTCAGTCAGTATTTGTTGAGTGAGTGAGTAAGTCCAAGTTTGATGTTCAGGGGGTGCAAAACTGTGGCAGTCCTTACGAGGAATTAGACTTGATTCTGGGTGCTGGGGGTGTTCTCCTTTGAGTAGCTCAATGGGAACTCCAGGTGACTCCTCTGGCCTCAGGCAGCGTCCAGAACCTCCAGCCATGGCCCTGTTCTGTTGATTTTGCTTCAACATCCATCTGCTTGGCTTTTATCTGTGCCATTGTTTCCATGCTCCTCTGCCTCCCAAGGTCGGCCCTCATTCGTCCTGTTTGGATGTCAGCATGGACCATCCCCCACTCCAATTGCCATTTGTCCCTTTTCTGTACCTCAGGCTTTGGCTCCTCTACTGATGGCTGTTTGATAAAAGAAAGAACAGAGCTGAACTGGCTGGGGAAGGCCAGGATGAGGAGGGCTGGCGGGATTCTCCATTATCTGCCTTTAATCCCACCGGGGCTTTAATCTGTTGGCTGCTTTGGGTTTTACCCTGGAGCCACTTGAGAGGGTGTGATCTTTCCTGCTCCTTCTAAGGAGGATCCGAGTCCAGGTCAGCCCCACAGCGAAGCCGAGCTGTAGGAGACCACTGGGAAGTTGGTGCGGAACAGCCACCCTGTGGGACAGG